ATCTTGGAAACATCTCTTCTGGTAACTGATAAAACAAAAAGCCAAAAGGAAAAACCAACAAGTATATATAAAGTATTTGAACAAGGCTATTGTTAACTACCTTGAACCAACAACCACAAAATACAGAATGTGGGGCAGTCAACAAATGAACTGACATTTCTCTAAAAGCTCAGAATTACAGACAACAAAAACAAGAACCTAAAGAAATGTAGCCACAAAATGCAAGGCATGAATTGTGACTGGATTTATGAAAAAGAAAAAAATTATAAAGCACATTGTGGAGACAATAAGAAAAAAATCTGAATTTATGAACTGGGTATTTTAGGAAATTAGGAAATTTCTAATTGTCTTAATGTGATGATGGTATTGTGGTTATGTAGAAGAATGTCATTCTTAGGAGATGTATGGGGAAGAAATATGTTATCTGTAATTTACTTTCAAATGGCTCAGGAATTAGTGTGTTGATATGTTTCTCTGTAAAGCATTAGAAAAGGAAAATTCCTTTATTAAAGGTACAACTACACTTTTATATTACCTTTTTTTCTAGTTTTTAAAACTTAGTATTACAAATAAAATTTTATTATTTTTTTGAAGGACATCTTATGTAGACTTCTTCAAGCTAAAAAGTCAACAAAAATCTCAGTCACATACTGAATTTCTATATGGTTTTAAGTATAACTACCAGGAAACAAACTTTAGTCAAACCTTTTTTAAAGCCCACTTTAGCTCTCAAAGTACTCTCTTACAATTGTCAGCAGAGAAGGGAATTACATATAACACAGGATAGAATTATTGATAACTCAAGTTTCAAAAGTCAATATTGCTTTGAAGCCATTTTCCCCCAAATAGTTTTCAGTTTAAAGACATTATAAAACTCTTGGGATTACTTTTGATGGTAAAATTTTTTTACCATATTTTGCCACTGTTCTTTTTCAGCAGTCTGATCTAAATTCTTTCTAATGTTCTTTTTCGGGACTTTGACCTAAAAATGACCTCTTTCAGAACATATGTACATATAAAAACTATCCATCAAAACACAAAGCTAAGGAAGAAGAAGAGTCAAATGTAAGGTAGATTCATTATTCAAGTTGAAGGTACAAGCAAATGCTCCTATGAGAATACCACATATTAAAGTCCATTTAAGAAATAAAGTCTGAGAGCTTGCCTAATGTACTGGAATACTAATTTAAAAGCAGTGCTGCTAAAAGCCAAGAATGATGGTCTTAAATAATGATGGTGCTGATCAGACAACACAAAGAAATAAAAGACATCTAGATCAGCAAGGAAGAAGTTAAACTGTCCCTGTTTGCAGAAGACATGATACAGTACATAAAAAACCCTAAAGAATCTACTCCAAAACTATTAGATTTAATATCAGAATTCAGAAAAGTTGCAGGACACAAAATTAACACACAGAAATCTGTTTCATTCATATACACTAATGATGAACTAGCAGATAAAGAAATCAGGAAAACAATTCCATTCACAATTGCATCAAAATGAATAAAATACCTAGGAATAAACCTAACCAAGGAAGTGAAAGACCTATACTCTGAAAACTACAAGACACTCATGAGAGAAATTAAAGATACCAATAAATGAGAACACATGTCAAATGGTCATCCTGCCTAAAGCAATCTACAGATTCAATGCAATCCCTATCAAAATAACAATAGTATTCTTCAATGAACTAGAGCAAATAGTTCTAAAATTCATATGGAACCACAAAAGACCCTGAAAAGCCAAAACAATCCTGAGAAGGAAGAATAAAGCAGGGGGGATTGCGCTTCTCGACTTCAAGCTCTACTACAAAGCCACAATAATCAAGACAATTTGGTACTGGCACAAGAACAGACCCACAGACCAATGGAACAGATCAGAGAGCCCAGATATAAACCCAAGCATATACGGTCAATTAATATACAATAAAGGAGCCATGGATATACAACCGGGAAATGACACCCTCTTCAACAACTGGTATTGGCAAAATTGGACAGCTACCTGTAAGAGAATGAAAGTGGATTACTGTCTAACCCCATACACAAAAGTAAACTCAAAATGGATCAAAGACCTGAATGTAAGTCATGAAACCATAAAACTCTTGGAAGAAAACATAGGCAAAAATCTCTTGAATATAAACATGAGCAACTTTTTCCTGAATGCATCTCGTTGGGCAAGAGAAACAAAATAAAAAATGAACAAATGGAACTACATCAGGTTAAAAATCTTCTGTACAGCAAAGGACACCATCAGCAGAACAAAAAGGCATCTTACAGTATGGGAGAATATATTTGTAAATGATATATCTGACTAGGGGTTAACGTCCAAAATATATAAAGAACTCACATGCCTCAACACCCAAAAAGCAAATAACCATATTAAAAAATGGGCAGAGGATATGAATAGACACTTCTCTAAAGAAGAAATTTAGATGGCCAACAGGCACATGAAAAGATGTTCCACATCGCTAATTATCAGGGAAATGCAAATTAAAACTACAATGACATTATCACCTCACACCAGTTAGGATGGCCAACATAGAAAAGACTAGGAACAACAAATGCTGGTGAGGATGTGGAGAAAGGTGAGCCCTCCTACACTGCTGGTGGGAATGTAAACTAGTTCAACCATTGTGGAAAGCAATAAAGAGGTGCCTCAAAAAACTAAAAATAGAAATATTATTTGACCTGGGAATTCCACTCCTAGGAATTTACCCAAAGAATACAAGTTCTCAGATTCAAAAAGACATTTGCACCCCTATGTTTATCACAGCACTATTTACAATAGCCAAGATATGGAAGCAACCTAAGTGTCCATCAGTAGATGAGTGGATAAAGAAGATGTGGTACATACACACAATGGAATACTATAGAAAGAAACAAATCCTACCATTGCAACAACATGGATGGAGTTGGAGGATACTATGCTTAGTGAAATAAGCCAGGTGGAGAAGGACAAGTACCTAACGATTTCCCTCATTTGTGGAGTATAACAGTGAAGCAAAACTGAAGGAACAAAATAGCAGCAGACTCACAGACTCCAAGAAGGGACTAGCAGTTACCAAAGGGGAGGGGTGGGGGAGGGAGGGTGGGGAGGAAGGGAGAAGGGGTATTATGACTGGCACACATGGTGTGGGGGGGATCATGAGGAAGACAGAGTAGCACAGAGAAGGCAAATAATGACTCTGTGGCATCTTACTACACTGATGGACAGTGACTGCAATGGGGTATGGGGTGGGACTTGATAATATGGGTGAATGTAGTAACCACATTGTTTTTCATGTGAAACCTTCATAAGAGTGTATATCAATAATACCTTTAAAAAAAAGAATCCCATTTCCTATTATTCTGGCTCCTTCCTTTAGTTCCTAAACCCTATAACTTTTAGACTTAACAATCCATTGATGATATCACCTTTCCACCGCTCCTCACCTACCTCATACATTCAACTCCCTTCTTACAGATCATAACCACCACAATGTATACACTGTCATCTCCCTTGCCCCTTTCTTGAGTCATCATACTCAAAGGAGCTTTAATCCTCCTACATAGCTGTGTCCATTCACTTTCTCACTCTCCAAGAAAAGTGTCTTGCTACAATTCTGTGCCTTGATAATCACATTAGCCTCCTAACTGGTTTTCTTACTTATACCTGTCCCTTCCTACAGTCTACTTTAATTAACAGTCTCTTGACACATCTTAAAGGGTTGATAAAATCCTATTGCTCCTCTTCTAAAAATAGCCAACAACTCTCATCTCATGCAGAATAGAAGCCAATGTCTTTACAGTGGTCCACAAGTCCCTACAAAATCTAGCTGTTCATTATTTATTTTCAACCTCTGTTCCACTTTCATTCTTCTCCGGCCATACTGGTCTACTTGCTGTTTCAGAAATATGCCAGCATGCTCTTGCCTTAAGGACTTTGGACTTTTTAGGGCTTCCTTCCTCTCCTTTCAACATATCATCACTTTAGTGAGGCCTTCTCTGTCTTCCCTACTTAAAATTGTTTTATTTTTTCTTGCTTTATTTTTCTCATGACATTTATCATGATCTGACCTAGTATTTAATCTGTATTGTTTCTTGCCTCTAACTCCCACTAGCATGTAAGCTCTATAAGAACAAGGATTTTGTCTGTTTGGCTGATTGTTCTACTCCCAGTCCCAGTGCTTATGATGTGACTAGTACACAGAAGACATTCATTAAAATTTATTTATTAAATAAATAAAGTTACTAAAGTACATATTTTTTCTGGACTATTTGTTGAATGAATGAATGAAATACATTGTTACATAATTTTTAAATGAGATAAAAACAGAAAGTCTGAATAAAAATAACTGAAATGAAATAAATCTAAAGTTACCATAAATTTATTGTCTATACAGAAAAAATTCTGGGAATTCATTTTTAAACTCAGTCACATACATAACTGTTCTTCTAATTTTATCCCCTGGAGAGAACTGACCAGCAGTTATTTCATTTTCTTAATTTTTTAACATTAGAATCTATACTATGGAAAATAAACATTATCCAAGGTCAATATAAGTGCTAGAATACCCTCAATCACACATCAGAACTTATAGGGTTTTAAAGCTTTTAAGATATTTTTGGATTTTAAGTTATAGAATGGTACTCATTTTACTTGAATCCAAATATGGATAATTATCTAAAGAAATTTCTATACTATAGCTTATTAATGAGCCAAGTGTTAAATTTCATATTTTAAATATATTAATGTTTAAGCACATTAAATTTATTTAAAGTTCTACTTTTAAAAAGTTGAAATAGAAAACTTAAGTTATGTCTATGAAAAATACTCTAATTAAAAAAAAAGAATGAAACAAACCTAGAGAGAAAGGCGAGGGAGAGACGTTGTTTAAAAGACATCATCTGCTTTAAACCATTTCTAGTTTGGTGCAATGAATTATACACAGCATTACTCAGATTTAAGAGTTTAAACAATACATTAGAAACTAAAATTTTAGTTCATAAAAAAACACTCACCTACAACACCATTCAATACGACCTTCGCCTTCACAAGTTTTGGCCCAATGATTATCTGCCAAATTTTTCATTGCAACAGCATATTCACAAAGTGTTTCCTCGTCCTCACAATGTTCTCGCCAGATCTTATCAAAATCTCCCACTGAAAATGAGAAAAATGAATTAAGTTAACTTTACTTAAAAATGTGTCAGGCTTTTAAAAGTTTCAGAAAAACATAAAATTACTTAAAGATGAGTATAAGCAAAATCATGAGGTAGAATTTCATAAAGTTTAAACTTCATGATTTTAAAAGCGCCTTTATGTAAACAGTTGTATCACTTTATGATGATTTGATAACCAAATAACTTTTACCATTTTAATGGATTTGTGAAGCTGAATAGAACTAATACATGTAAGTACACACGTATGAGTTACCAGTTTTAAACCAGACACGTGCTGGTAGGGAACAGGTACACCTGGGCATTCAGGTATTGAATGTACAGCTACCACTGGGCAGTATGGCAGTGTGGCAACAGGAGTGGGACCACCTATGCCTGCTCCTTCCTGAAATGTTCTTGAACCTGTGCATATTTATCAATTTCCTGCATTAGAAGGGGTTGGTAGGTGAGATGGCAACATGAATGAGTAAGCAAGTTAAATATTCTTATTTATACACTTGGGACTTGCTTTAGGAATACCACTTTAAAAAATTAAAATCCTAGGACAAAATGTTGGGAGAGAAATTACCTTGGGAGCCTCTCCAAAGTTTTGAGTCTTTATAAAATGTTCTGAATAAAAATTACAAGCTGACCACATTATCTGGCCATTACTGCTAGCCATCACCTTTAAAAGTTTTTTTCAATTAAATCAGTCATCACATTTAATATGAAATCTGAAACAGCAATGTGAGTTCTGATTTTAAAAAAGGCATAAGGATGTTATGGATGAATAAATGAACATTAACAAAATTATAAGGGTAGAAAAGTAAACAAAAATTATCAAGATGGCTTCATTCAATGTCCTTAGATATAAGGCTTAGGTTCACTTGCCTCATATCCAAATGCACACAACTGTCTGGTGACAGGATAAAGTTGGAAACCTAAATAAAACAGCCAAATTGGAGGACGATAATTATACTCAAATTCTTTATCCAAGTGAGACTATTAGATTCCAGTACTTAAGAGTTGTTCTTTTTTTAAAACAGTAAAGGAATTATAATAGTTCAAATATAACATCTATTCAAAATTTTAAAAACTTCATTGGTTCTTTTATATACACAGTCCACTAAGTACTGAGTCGAAAACTAAACTATCAGCATTCTAGTTTGATCAAATGAAGAAAGAACAAAGAACAATAAAGGCACAAATATGCCCTTACAGGCACATTGTTTGGCTGAGTATGTATCAGTTCAGTCTTGGACAGAATACTGATTTTACACTCAAAAGGGATCAAAAAGTTCTCTTTTGAGGGATTATGTTCTTACACAATAATATTTTCACTCATCACTAATATTTGTATAGTTACAGGGCTCTCAACTTGTTATATAGCAGAATGGCAGTAACTGTACACTAAAAACAAGTAGGCAAACAAATTATTTTGAAATTCTCCGAGAAACTCCTTTTATCAGTTTTAGCAATATCTTTCAGATATAGTTATTTAAGCATCTAAAAAGAACTGCAGGGAGTAAAGTCTTTGAAGCAAATTATTTTAATTAATGATACTTTAAGAAAACCTATGATGGTTCATAACACTTCCTGACTTTACTCATCAGATTTGATACCAAATGGCTCATTAAGGTATAGCATCCTTTTAAAGGTGCTTCATCCTTTGTTGAGATGGGTATCTTTAAATGGTCTTTGGTTTGAACTTGTAAATTTCACTGTCCTATACAATGTACATATTACAAATATATAAATTTGCTACATTTGCTGGAAATTAGAGTCATTCAAACAAAAATTCTATGATCAAATATGTCTGGGATAAGATATGTTTAACATACTTAAACAGATTTCCTTCCTATAAGACTTTTTAGTTCAGATGCTACAGAAGGTACAACTTAAGGACCTTGATGCAAATAGTTTATCTGGGAGAGAGTCCTAGGAAAGAGGAGTGAGGGAATAGGAACAATGACCCAAGGAAGACAAAATGCTAACACAAAGGCGTTATTGAGGCTGCTGCTGTAGGCAACAGAGAAGTAGACTGCGTGCCTCTGGAATTGTGTACCTAATGGATGGGAGGCTGGAGCCTTTATCTATCAGTTATTGTCCCTCAGTAACTGAGGGTTGTTAACAACCTGTTCTTCCAGTCTGTACTTGGGCACTGCATAAGGAACACCCTCAGTGGGTTCCAGCAGTGTTAGAGAAAGGTGGAAAGGTCCTTAATATGTAATTGTATACTGTGGAACTATTTATTCTAGAATTAGACTGCATATATACACAGAAAGCTACTGCCCTTGAACTTTTTAGAAGACCTCTAGTTTTCACACCTAACAAAGTTCTCTTTAAATATTGCCAATTTCTTACAGAGTTTTTAAGGCTTACTAGTCTGCTCCACTGAAGTTTTGGGGAAGGATTCAAATTTTGTCTGAAAGCTTATTCAAATTAAACTGTTTGCAGAGAACTTCAATTTAATGTTTTCACTAACATTTAAGAGTTTCCAGACTCTAAGTATGCTGGCACTGAAATAGATGTGTGATTAGTAAAAAGGCTATATATTTAAGTAATAGATTACTGAGACTTAACAATGCAATTGTTTATACTTTTCATTCTTTCAACAGGTTTGCTGAGGGGAAAAAAAACTATGTCAAACACCACGGAGAAAAACAATGTTAATGAGCAAGACACTGACATCAAAGAGATGTAAAAATGTTAAAATAGAGGTATGAACCTAATATGTTCTCTATATCCCATGTAAGGCATTCTGGACCCAGAACTTTTAAATCATGTATTTATTCAACAAAAATTTATCAAACTCCGATTAGTAGGTATACACTTTGTTATATGTCTAGTAGTTACAAAGTTGAACAATAAACATAGCCTTTAGTTATAAGAATATTCTACTTTCCAAAATACTCTGGAAAGCTTTATTTAAGTATTTTAAAATAAACTTATTAGACAAAAAAAGAATGGGAAAATTCACTTTGTAAAAAACAACAGCCCATTATTTGTTTTTGTAGTATTCAAAATAATGCTATTTATCTTTTAAGGCAAAGTATTTTCAAAATAATTTATGGTTGGGTTCTAAAAGCCAAGAACAATTAAGGTTGACCAGTGCCCTGTATACATATTCTAAACCCTTCTAAATTCTGTGCACACAAGAAAATATGTTAAAAGTCATTTCTAAGATAGATTTTTTATCATTTAGTTATTAGATCAACTGATTTTTAAGATTATCTTATATGAAAGGATAATATTTTTTCACCATCAAAAGGCAAATCAGGAGTAAGACTTCCTAAGATTTGCATCAAAGGTCTAGTCAACAGTACATGAAATGCTTAAGTACTCAATTTCAATTAGAGCTCTCAATATATTAATAATTAGCCTTATAACGATTTTAATATATTGTTACTTGCAATGATGCAAAGTCATTGTGGTTACTATCTACTTTTTTACCCACTTCTTATAAGCATCCTATAAAACTATGAATGTATCTTAAAATGGAGAGAAAGAGAGAGGAAGGAAGGGAAGGAGAAGAAAGTCTCCACTCAATACATACCTTTGTGGTATGTATGGAGAATTCAAATTATTTTTAGAAAGCACAATTAAAACTATTTATGTCCTGCAGTCTAACTTGAAATTAATAAACATTTTATGGTCAAACTAAAATAACAAATTTAGAGAAAAAATCAGTAACCATTTCTTTGAATATATAGTTTTAAAATCAACTTAAAGCTATACAAAGTCTAAAAGGTAAAGTCATTTGATTGTCTTATAAAATTCTAGAACAAAATTCCCATTAACATGACTTCTACTTACTATATTCTTTTATATTTAAAAACTTAAACACTAATTTAAAAAACTAATTAATAACTTAAAACACAAGTGATGTCAACTTGAAGTTGCCAAACCAAGTTCAATATGGAAACCAATGAACTAAGTTATTCTGAAGCATGGTCCTAATATCAAGGTAACACGTAATTACTGACTAACTTCACCTTCACAAACATTACATATCACAACTAAAGGATAAATATGAACTACTTCCTGTGAAAAGACAGTAAAAACTAATTAGGAAAAAATTAACAGCACATTTCACTAATTCATTAGTGGAAAAGAATTCCATGGAAGCTAAGAAAGAAAACAAATGAACAAACAAGCTCACAGACAGAGAACAGACTGGTAGCTGCCAGAGACAGGAGTGGGGTCAAAGGCACAAACTTTTGGTCATAAAATAAGTAAGTTATGGGGGCATTAAAAAAAGATTCATTTTTAATTATTTTGTGATTAGTTTAAGGTATTATTGGTTGCAAATGTCTTTGTAAGAACCAAGTATAGTGAAGTTAAGGAATTATGTATTTTTGTTTTTACTTGGTAACGTCAAGAACAGCTGTATTATAGGTGCAAACTGAAGTGAACTAATGGAATCCCTAAACTATCTCTTAGAGCTAATGCTATACTTCCTTTTTGAATTAACCTCTCTGCAGACATCTAGTATAGCAAATTTCTTTCCATCAAAAAACATAACAGAATTCACATTAACCTCTTCAAGGAGGTTTATCTGCCTCTCACTTGATCATCTTATAATTCCCCCATATATGCATCTACCATCCTTATAATACTTTGTCAATATATTATCTATTAAAACCAAGTGTGGTTTTCTGTTAGAAAGTATTAATTGAAAGGCAAAGACTACTTCTGATTTATAACTTGTATAAGCTATAGAAGTAAATCACAGTGCCCCATTGAGGGAGAAAATATTTAAATTTTCACCATGCTCAAAAATTATAGGAAACACCAAAATTACAATAATTAAATTAGTTGCTAGAGTACAATTCAAACTATAGTTGATAAATGTGAACAGAAAATAGTGATCAAAAGCAATAAAATTGAATACTTCAAAACAGTGTTCTCAAAATAAGAGTTACATTTAGAAAAACAACAGGGTCAAAGCCAATTTTCTGGAAACCGCACTGTTTTAAGCTAATTTATATATATTTTTTCACT